TCGTCTAGCTTTCATCCTTTGTCTATATATACTATATAATGTTTTTTTTTAAAAAAAAATTGGGGCCCCCAAAATTTGGGGTCCCTAGGCAGACTTGCCCAGGGCTGGCCCTGTCGACACATGTGAGTATGATATATTGTACGCTCAAAACGGATAATGGGTGAATGAGATATTGATTCTCAAAGTAGACCCATTTGAGTTGGAAAATGAAGGGAAAAAGTGAGCTTTTGTCCCACATTGGTTTGGAATGAAGATTTTTCCCCCTTATATACAAGAGCTCTTTTGAAGCTTATAGAATTGTATAGCATATAGGCTCTCTCGCGCGGGGGGGGGGGGGTGTGGGTGCAAATCAAATTCCAACTAGACAAGATTGAAAAAGGCTTGATTCAAGCCCGAGCTCGTGTGCGCCGGCACCTGCGAGCACGAATGTCGTCCGAAAATTGGCTGGCCTTGCGGGCTAAGTTATGCCAAACTTCGGTATCATTTTCCAACTGGTATAGTCACTTGGTTCGGCCGAAACTGAGAGCACCACTCTCGAACTTTCGTGCAACGGTGACCATGAGAGGTGTAAAGGTCGAAAGTTGAAGACCGAACCCTGCACGCCAATGGTCTGGAACCCGAAAGTTCTGACTATTATGGGGATTGAATTCATCTGTTACGGAATTAATATCCTATTAACTCCAATTTTGAATTCTGAATTCAATTCTCAGGTAGTGGTCTGCTGTTATAACTGTTGGAGAGCCAGCTTTAAAGTGCCCTAATAAAAGCTATTTAATCCTTCAACCCTATATAAGAGAGGGTAGAGGCAGTAGAGAGATACAAAGAAATATAGAACACGAAAGTTCATCTTTTTAGCCTCAAAACCTCTCTACTTCTACTCCTTCTTTAGCCTACTGTGTTCATAACCGTGTCTTGCTCGCCGGATTCCTTGTTTGAGTGCTCAAACATTGAATCACTAGCAAGTTTTATCCTAGGAAGCCTAGGCCACAATGCTCCTAGCATCTTTGGGAGGTGGCAAATAAGATTTTAAGGAAAGAGTGCTCACTTGACTCTTGCAAAAACCCAACACCAAACACTAGCCAAATTTCTCCATCTTTCCTTCCCTTGTTTTCCAGAAAATAATAATCTTATTTTTTGATTATTATTAGTTTTTCTTCCAACAGAGTTCCAACAGTCTTAAAACCTTAGAACCTTGTTTTCCCATTGGTTGTTTTGTCTAATTTCCTTGAAGAAATGGATAACCCCGAGTTGCCTATCGTGAACAATGGGGAAGAAAATGTTGTTGAGAACAACAATGGAGGAAATGGAAACAATGTTGTTAATTCCCAAGCTACACCAGTGAACGTTGGTTCACAAGATGGTGGGAGCACTGTGGGATATATTCCCATGTCTCGGGTACCTTCGGTACCGAGTGGTTCGGCTGAAAAGTCGGAGAAGTTCACCGGTGTTGGTTCGAACTTCAAGAGGTGGCAACAGAAGATGTTGTTCTACCTAGCAACTCTCGGCTTGGCAAGGTTCTTGTCCGAGAAGGTTCCCAAGTTGAAGGAACAAGATGCATAATCCGTGATGGCAGTTGACTATTGGAAGGATTCGGACTTCCTTTGCCGAAACTACATCCTAAATGGATTGTGTGACACGCTATATGATGTATATCGAAAGATAAGCACATCAAAAGCGTTGTGGGAAGCTTTGGATCATAAATAACGAAGTGAGGATACCGGCTCAAAGAAATTTGTTGGCCGATTCCTCGACTTCAAAATGGTTGATTCAAAAACTGTGCTAAGTCAGATAGAAGATTTGCATTTAATCTTCGATGAGATCCGTGACGAGGGCATGGTGCTAAGTGAAGCCTTCCAAGTGGGATCTATGATCCATTTTTTGCCTCCAGGTTGGAAGGACTTCAAGAACTACCTTAAGCATAAGCGAAAGGAGATGAATCTGGAGGACCTGATCCAGCGACTCAGGATTGAGGAAGGGAACAGGACGAATGATAGGAAAGTGTGGCTAAGCTGGTTAGTCCGGCGTCTAGTCATAGTTAGTTTAACTTGGTGAAAACTTCCTTCCATCAAATATTCTTTTGTTAATCCACCAGTGATTCTTGTCACACGACCTATACTTCAAGCCGTTCATATTGACCAAAACCTCATTGCATCTAAGCTTCGAGGAAGAAGCTTCTTGTTAGGGGGGCGGGGGGGGGGGGGGGGGGGGGGAGTGTGACACCCCGGAAATTAATTCCTTAAACCCAAATTAATTATTTAATTATTTCCTAATTACCTTTACAATTCTTCTTATATTTTAGCCTTGAGTTTAGTTAGGGGATTTAATTTGACCCGAATTCCTTAGCCTTTTTAATATGGCCATTCGGTTGTACCTTATGCTATAACCTTTGTACTCTAAGCCTTTACTTAAAAGAAACCCTTCTAGCCTTTATGGGGAAAGAAGAGGTCCTCTATGGTCATTTCACCATCCTTAAATGCATATATATTATTTTTTGTTGTAGCTACTAATTTATTTTTTAATTTAATAAGAGCAATAAAGTGGCTACATTTTAACATATTTGTACTATATGTTTAACAATTATGCCACATCTAATTGGGATGAGGTTCGAACCTAAGACTTTTCTTATAGAAATTAATGAGTAAGTAACGGAATATTCCGTTAAGAAAGTTTATGCTAACGGAATTTAAAGTTATCTAAGGAAGAAAATAATATAATAATGGGTAAATAAGAAAAATCATTAAAAAAAATACTAAAATCAAAATAATATGAACCATTAATTTTAGGAAACAATTACCGCCAACATTTTTTTATTCCAGTTAAAGGCCTAACATTATTGGCTCTTATTAGAATTGTAGATATATATAAAAGTTGTCACATTTATTGAGCTACTATTTACCATAATAATTATTATATTTTTATAGAGGCTAGAGTTTTGCTTAATGCGCACAAGGAACCCCCCTCACTTTGAGAGGTTGCTCCCACACTGCCGCTGGTGAGACTCGATCCCTTATTGTGCACCAGGAGGCCCCCTCACTTTGAGAGGTTGCTCCCACACTGCCGCTAGTGAGACTCGATGGCCCCCTCACTTTGAGAGGTTGCTCCCACACTGCCTCTGGTGAGACTCGATCCCTGGTCATTCTTCCTAAACTTCACCCCTATGATAGTATAGATAGATAAAGATGCATGTTTCATGTACAATTGTATTAAGGTTAGAAAAGTATTTATAGTGTAATTTCAATCAATATTATTATTTGGAGATTCTGTAAAAAAAAATAAATAGAATTGTATTACGAATATGAAAGTATATTTACTGCAATTTCAATATTATTATTTGCAAAAATAAATATGCATGTTTTATGTATAATTGTATTAAGGCTAGAATGGTATTTGTAGTTTAATTTCAATTAAGATTATTATTTGAAGATTCTGTAAAATAATAAGTAGAATTGTACTGTATTATGGATAGAAAAGTATATGTACTGCAATTTCAATATTATTATTTGCTGAAATAAGGATGCATTTTTCATTTACAAATGTAAAGTATTTATAGTTTAATTTCAATCAATATTATTATTTGGAGATTCTGTAAAATAATAAGTAAGATTGTATCACGGATATAAAGTATATGTATTGTATTTTTAAAATTGGAGTGTTTGTTAGTTTGCTTATATTTATATATTCATTTATTTATATTAAATATTTTTTATTTTTTTTTTAAAGAAGTTTATTAATAAAAAGGAAGGCCAAGGCCAGTACAAGGTCCGGATGGACTTAGGCCCCACATGGCCTAAATCCTACTAATAAGCTAAGTAAGGAAAAGTAAAATAAGACAAGATACCGTAAAGTGGCCCCCGGGGCTCTAACATGCATGCCCCAAGCCCTATGCTAGCTATCACTAACTAATCGCAGGCAGGAGTATGTCAAAACCTCTGAAGCACAAGTAGCGAGGATAGATGCCTCGCGTGTCACAAACGTGGCCCCCCAGCCAGTTGCACTACAGCGACTACACACCATAATGCCGCCTAGCCGGGATGCACCACAATTGCAACACCTCCCGGAACGCTATCGACTGCCCTGTAGAACCAAGCATGCCAAACAATAGATAATGCAAGATGCAGAGAAATGGCAGTACAGGTAGATCCCGAGCCCAATAAATCATCAACACGGCACAAGGCAGCCAATAGCAGATCTCCCGATCAGCACCCCAACCCTAACGGGATTAGCTACTATGGGCCAGCAGCAAGCCTGGACTACCGCCAACGGATTTGAAAAACACCTACCCGGCCACCGTTCAGCCCGGGCTACGATGCAATTTTTGACCGCTTGCATCGGCGTTGAGACCTGGTCTTTTCCAAAAATGCCTGCAAAGGCGAAACCAAAAAGAGCCCAAGACCAGTTCATGCCTCCGAGGTCAAAGAAGCAGCACCTGCAAAAATAGAAACAAGATAGAATAAGCTAGCATCGTGTTCCCATGACCCAACTATCACATCTATCTCGGGTGAGTGTTTAAGTTTATACCAGGCTGACGCGAACAAAAGCAACCCCCCAAATAATAGCCCATCCCCCCGGAGTCCAGAAGGAACTCAGCTACTATTGGCCAGTAGCAAGCCTGACCAGGTCAACGGATTTGATAATCCTGCCCGGCACACCGTTCAGCCCGGACTAGGGTGCCCTGTTGTACCGCCAGCACCTTACGTTGAGACTCAGCACTGCGAAGCAGGGCTTCCCGGTCCCCAGAGAACCTCACACACTCACTGTTTTTTAACTCCCATCCACTCTTTCTTTTCCTCCCACCTCTCCTTTTTCTCACTCCAATTCTTTTCACTCTGTTCTTTTCTTTCACTCATTCTTTCCACTCAATTCTTTTCTATCCTTCAACCCTTTCTTTTCTTTTTTCCATCTCTTTTCCTTTTCTTTTTCCCTTTTTTCTTTTCTTTTTTCTTTTTTCTGTTTTTTCTTTTTTCCAAATTTCCAACTAATCAAACAAAGTACAAGTACAATCACGGGGGATCATCAATATCAAAAAACACGTAGGGCACATCATCATGTATCAGTAAAGCACGGACCCTACGTGGCAGATCATTGAGGCTCCGAAAGATGGCCTCCCCCGGCTTATCCACCGCCCAGTTAGCTAGCGCCTGTGCAGGCATATTGGCCCTGGACGGGCACACAGAAGCAGTAACAACCCCACAGGAACACAGAAACCGGAGTCTGGTCACAACATCATCTAGAATCCACGGCGGACGAACAGAGATATCAACGTAGCTAGCCAACTCCGCCCAAGTGGACTCTATATCAATCAAAGTAGTTCCCCCGGCCAGGCACCATTCCAGGCAAGAGAAAAGGACCCGGAACATTCCCCGGGCGTGCTCCCCGTGGCCAGACCACGCAACCCCGTAGCAGAAGCCACCGTCCTGGTTGCGCACCACGGCCGCAGCCCCCCCAGCCGCCGAAGACCGAGAAAGATTGATCTTTAATGCCCCGGCAACCGGGGGAGACCACCTGACCGCCCTAATAATACGTCTCGGCACATGTGCCTCCAAGTATGCCACAATAGTCCTCCAGTTAGAGGGCAGGATATGCTGCATGGGCCAACGCCTAAACAGGCATTCCGCCACCCCCTTTGCCACCCCATGCATCACCCGTGCAACGCTGGTAGGTGTGTCTCGGCCGTACATGCACCCATTACGGTGCTTCCACAGCTCCCACAACACCAGATACGGCAACCTGCAAACAACAAAAGACAAAAGAGGGTTACGCGCCCCCGCCCGACCCCATCCTGCAATCAAAGTCCTAAGACTCCGGTGTCGCAAGTAGAGGCCGAGGGACGCCAAAACATATCTCCAAGCGGCTCTTGCTGTTTCCCCAGAATAAAAGATGTGATCAATAGACTCGGGGACCGGGGCTGGACAACACCGACACCTCGAGACGATCGCATGACCGAAATGGGCCAAGATGTCATCCATGGGAAGCCGCCCTCGGAACACCCTCCAAGCCAGGAAGGACACCTTAAAAGGAAGGTGCTTGCGCCAACACTTAGCTAAGAGCGGGTCCGGTGCAGTGGGCAAAGCAGGCCTAAGAAAGGCCTTAGCAGAGGAATAAGAAAACATACCGTCGGACGCCACGGTCCAGAGTGGGATATCACGCGGGCCCTGCCCCAAGCGGGACAGGTCCGCCCCAATCCCAGCAAATGCCAAGTCATCGTGGTCTGTCAAATCAAGCTGGCCATCCCGCACATAGTCTAGAAGTAACTCCCGGGAGTAGGAAACCACCCGGTGTGGATAAAGCCTGCCAAGTGGGCCCAGACCCGACCAGTTGTCCCACCAGAAATTAACCCGGCCTTGGAACAACCGCCAAGTGAGAACCCCCTCAACCTCATCACGTACCGCCAGCATCCTCTTCCAGGTGTGCGAATCTCTATTCTGAACCAACTTAGCAACCGGGTGAACCCGACTGCAATATTTCGCCCTCATAAAGTCCGACCATAAAGTATGATCTGTCCGGAAATTCCACCACAATTTAGCACTGGCCGCCCTTACCATCAAGTCTAAATCCATGAACCCCACCCCCCCTTCCTTCTTAGGACGAGAGAGGGTTTTCCACGAACTCCAGTGGTACCGGGCGCCCCCTGACTGTTTCCAGAAAAAACTCGCATAACATCTCTCCAAATCCCGTATGACCTGCTTTGGCGGAGCGCAGGCCGAAAATATGTGCAACGGTATGGCCTGCAAGACTGAAGAGATCAAGATTGCCTTCCCGCCCTTCGAGAGCAGCCGGCGTTGCCAACTCAAGCATCTAGCCTTAACTTTATCAATCACCGAAGCAAAGTAGATACACTTTTTACGGCCTATATACACCGGGCAGCCCAAATATGTAAAAGGAAACTGTTTATGCACACAGCCCGTTGCCCGGCAAATCTGCTCAATCTCGTGGGCCGGAGTACGAGGGTGCATGTAAAACGCACTTTTCTGAAAGCTCACCAATTGTCCCGAGATCTCCTCGTACTCCTTTAACGCCCCAATCACGACCTCAATAGCTCCCAAACTGGCCGTACTAAAAATAATAACATCGTCCGCATAGGCCAGGTGGTGAATATGTGGTGTCCGTGGCGGCTGTGTTGTAACACCCCAGATTTTCAAGACATTTAAAACTTATAAAATAAAGGTATTATCTCATTAAATCCCAAAACATAATACAAGTGTACGGGGTGCTATGCCACACCTGAGCTAGAGAACCCAGGTGCACAGGCTAACTAACTAATATCCTCAATAATGTAAATGCATAATATGGCACGCAGGCCGAAAGGGAACTATCTACTTCTACGTTCCGAGTTCTAGTGCGCTCCAGTGACTTATTCTTCTGTGCCTGAAAGCCAAATATATCTGTTCAGCGAGAGATGCTGGTAACCCACTCCAACGCGTTGAAATACAATACATATAGAGATATATATAGATATACGAAAATCATTATGAGCATGAAGATATATCCTATGAACTCTAGCTTTTAAAACCGGGAATGACTCGACAGATAAGGCTAGACACAAGCAACAGTTATAACGAGCATATGCAGTTCACAACAAATAAGGCAGATAAGGCAAAGCATAAACAATAATCATAACCCATCATAAACAATCCCCAATATAAATCCCATAGTCACATCCCAAGGCACTCATAATCACAACTCGTCCATATCACACACATAACGCACATTGTTGGCGCCACAGGACCGATCGCATGCCCATACATGAGGGTCAGCGCATATAGCTCTGACACAGCCCCGCAGCACCATGCCCCGCATCGCAACACGGGGAGGTCGATCGCAACCGACCGATGAACCGCAGCTCATCATAATGTTTGATCGCAACCAAACAGTGGACCGCAGCCCAAGAGAGTGTCATCTGACCGCAGCCAGGATAAAGGACGAACCGCAGCTCGTATAGAAACGTTTGATCGCAACCAAACGGTGGACCGCAGCCCAAGAGAATGTCATCTGACCGCAGCAAGGAATACCCATCTGACCGCAGCCAGCTTCTGAACCGCAGCTCAGGATAACCAATCCGATCGCAACCGAATTGGGGTGACACACACACATAACACACAGCAAGCACATGCAACCCAAATTACACATTGGGAAGGGGGATAAAGCGTATAACAAACCTATGCGTGATCCATCACATACTAAGAATAGTCCTAAGGGGTTCATACTTCTTTCACCTAGGTCAATGGGATACCAATTCAACTAGCATGCGATACAACGGACTCATAAACCTACGAACGGTACCCGAAACATCAAACTAGACATAGGCACGACAAACGGGGTCCGTTGGGACACCACGGGGATCGGGGAAACATCAAACGGGGAAGCCGGGGTCCCGAGGTGGGAGAAATTCCAGCGGGTAGCCGGTGGGTGGGGGTCCACCCGCCAGCTGACACTGTTCCGGGCAGCGGGTGCCCGGCGGGCAGCTGCCCGCCCGCCGGCTGCCCGTTGCCGGAGCTGCCCGGATTGCCGCGGGTAGGTGGTGGGTCCCCCACCCCCCACCTACCCCCCACTGACTCTTTTCACCACTTTTCGTCCCGGGAACCGTTGTGGAACCCGAAACCATGCTTAGACACTTTTCAACGTAATTAACGACAACACGTAGACAATTCACGGATCAAATACGATAACGAACGGCACATAACCTAACATGCTTTTCTAATCATAATCAACACCCAAACATGCGATTTCCCACCCGATAATCCAAGAGTAAGATCATACGATACAACCTAGGGTTCTAATCACTTTTATATCAACAAGAATACGGTTCGTCTTCTAATTGCAAGATTCGGTAGGAACAACACATAATCATCAAGGATACCAATTAATCATCAAGAACATCATAATCATCAAGAACAACACATAATCATCAAAATCCCAATTAATCATCAAGAACATCATAATTATCAAGAAACTCCCAATATCAAGATTATCAAGATTCCCCATGGAATCATTAAATCAACATCAATAATAATCATAGTAATTCGCCATTTACAATCATATGGGGGAAACCCTAAGGGGAAATCATAGCTATGAAAATAGGTTTTGTTGAGACATGGGTTACCTCTTAGCCTTAATTAATTCCTTGGCTATGAAGGGTCTTTCTTTAAGCTTTCTTGCTTTCTTGATTTCTTCTAAGGGAATTCTTGGAGCTCTTTTGGGATGGTGAGTCGTTTATTGTGGTGGGGGGTTCTAGGTGCCTCTTAAGTCCCCTCTTTATATATTTAGGAGTCCTAATTAGGAACTAATATTATAGGCTTGCTAATTCTATTCCTTTTGGGACTAAGGATTGGGTTCCATGGTCCATAGTGGACCATATTAATTAATTAAAGAGAATCCTAATCATAATCTGAATAGTAAAAGACCTATTTCCTTTATTCCTAATAGAAAACTAGGTCTAGGATTCCTAATCAGAATCTGAATAGTAAAGGGTTTACTTTCTTTATTCCTAATAGGCTTAAGGCTCTAATTTAGGCAAGGGCCCACGGTTCATGGTGGGCCTTATTAATTAATTAAAGGGAAACCTAACCGAATTAAATCATATTTAATTATTATTAACGGGATTAATTAAATAATTAATCCGGGATTGAAGGCCGTAACACGGGGTGTTACATGTGTAAACCGGGGCACCGTAGTGCCATCATAGACCCGCGCAATGTACACCGACAAGACCTCAGCTGCAATCACAAACAGAGTCGGGGACAGCGGGTCCCCTTGCCTGAGACCTCGCGTAGATGTGAAGAAGCCCTCTTTGACTCCATTCACAATCACTGAATACCACACGTTAGACACGGCCCGGAACACCATATCTATCCAGACCTCACTGAAACCCAGGCGGCGCATCACCGAAGTCAGGAAAAACCATGATACCCGGTCATAAGCCTTAGCCATGTCTAACTTAAGGACTATGTCCCGGTTCTGCAAGCTCAACCCGTGGCACATCTCAGACGCTAGAAGCACATTATCTGTAATAGACCGGCCCGCCACAAACCCACTCTGCTGCGGTGACAACACCCGAGGCAAGACTGTAGCCATCCGAACCACCATGAGCTTCGTGATAAGCTTACTACTGAAGTTGCATAGGCTGATGGGTCAGTAGTCCGCAAAAGTCTCCGGACTCGGCTTCTTCGGCAACAGGACGATAGATGTGTGCGTGATATCCCTGGTAAATTCCCGTCCCGCAAAGTAGCTCCGAACCATACTGACAACATCATCCTGAATAATATCCCAGCAAGCCTTATAGAAGGCCCCCGAGAAACCATCCGGCCCTGCCGCACTCGTAGAGTTCATCTGCATTACCACCGCCTTCACCTCCTCCACCTCAGGCACCGCCGTCAAAACCTCATTATCCTCCTCTGTAACCAACCGTGGGACACAGTCCAGCCTAGTCAACTCAAAACCCCCAACCTCCGCGGTGAACATATGCTCAAAGAAAGAGACCGCCTGATTAGCAATCCCTTGCCTATCCTCTAGCCACACACCGTCACCACCCTTCACTCTGTGTATATATAGCTTTCGCCTACGTTCCTTAACAACTGAGTGAAAGAACCGGGAGTTTCTATCCCCATCCTGAACGTCGGTGATACGCGCCTTCTGCTGCCAAAATTCTTCTTCTATAGCAATCTGTTTCTGTAACAAAGCAACACCCTTTTTATATTCTATTAAAGCATTCTCATCATCCGGGTGTTGCTGTAAGGCAGCCTCTAGGGCCTGAACACTATCCTCATATTCCCGGAGCTTCACAAAGATATCCCCAAATACAGTCTTACTCCAGGTGTTCAGAACTTTCCCCAACCTATTCAACTTGGTGGCTATTACAAACATAGGGGCCCCCTCTACAGGAACCTGCCAGCTATCACGCACCACCCTCAGAAAATCCTCGTGCTTGATCCACACGTTCAGGAACACAAAGTGCTTCGGAATTACCTGCATACTTATCAACTCAAAGGATATTAGAAGCGGACTGTGGTCAGACGTGGACTTTGACAAATGCCGTACGGATGACGTAAAAACCGACTCCCACACCAAGGTGTAGAGGAGCCGATCCAAACGCATCCATATAGCCGCCTCTCTACGGCGCCCATTCCACCAAGTAAAACAGGAACCGTAATAGGCCGCGTCGATCAAGTCACACGCACTGACACACTCCTGAAAATCAGTAGTCTTCCGGTGTGAATACGGTAGACCACCTTTTTTCTCGTCCACACTTAACAGACAGTTAAAATCACTAGCAACCGCCCAAGGCACACCCCCGGGGATCATAGAAAAAATAGCTTTCAGCTCAACCCACAGGGAGTCCCGGAGGCGTACCTTGGTTTTGGCATAAACAAAAGAGAGCCAGAAAGGCGTGAGAACCGTAGAGTGTACACAAGATATCGTAACACACTGCTCAGTCTGACTCTCAAATGTTACTGCCAAGTCATTATTCCAGAAAAGCCAAATTTTATTATTATTAGAAGCAAAACCATTATCAAAATTAAAACGAATTCTAAAAAACTCAAGCCAATCAGACGAGCTGAAAGGCTCGAGCAGACAAAGTACAACAGGAGAATGCATTCTTAACAAAACACGGATCCTGCGTGCCGAACCCCGGGAGGACACCCCCCGCATATTCCACACGAGCATCTTCATATAGACAATAGACCACCCGGCTCCGAGTGAGGGGAGCCCCCCCCTTTTCTGGTATGTATAAGCCGACGTCCTACCGGGCCTACACCATCAAGCACCCGATCCTCAGAGTCTGACCCCGACTCCGGGGCCCACTCCTCACGCTCATGACCAGGCACCGGCACGTCAGAATCTGACCAAGCCCTTTCCCTCCCCCTTCTCGGCCCCCAGGGAGCCTTAGGAGAATGAGAAAAAGGAGTGAAAGAGAAAGATACCTGAAGCGGGCTCTGCAGATCAGCCCGCCCTCCCGAGGGGCTAAAACCCCCCGTAACCTCCGGGATAGTGGACAACTGGCCAGGCGACTGGCCAAACCCTACCCCGGGCGCTGTCGTGCCTACAGATATCCTGCTGTCAGCCGGGGTAGATGGCAATTCGCCACCCCCCGGCCCCACAATAGCCTCCTCAGAGGCTAAGTCCTCATCCTGGAGCACAGCAAACCCATTACTAACCGGCACCGGGGTAGGCCGCCTAGGTGACAGGGCCCGCCATACCTTATTACCTGTACCAACACCCGGCCCCTGACTATTGTCCATCGGGGCCTTACCTTTTATTTGCTTTTCTTTATTACTTTGTTTTTTTCTCTGACTAGCCGTCATGTCCCGATGATCCAACACGATAGCTGATCCCCGGTCCTAGCCGACCCCCCCGGACGGGAGCGGGCCAGCATCAGCCATTGATGTCGACACATGTGGTGCCGAGGTGCGTGGAGCGCTAGCCCCACCACCAGGGACACGGCAACTATTGGCCCAATGGCCTTGTTTCCTGCAGTTCAAACAATACGGGGGGATACGCTCATACTCTATCGCCTGCCAAAACCCCGCGGCCTCCCGATCCGGGCGCGCAGTTCCTAATCGGATGAACATCTTGCGGCGCCGGGGTTTCAGCAAGTCAATCTCAACCTTCACCCTAGCCACACTAGGCCGGGTGAACTTAGCCGTAGGCGTATCCACCTGTAGAAATCTTCCAATAGGTTTGACAATCTGTTTGAGGCAAGGCTCCGAGAAACAGTTGGCCTTAAGGTTGGGCAATAACACCCAAACCGGGGCCAATGACGTCTCGAACCTCGTATCAAAGTCCATTGTCCACCTAAAGAGCCTCATCGGGCACTTCCCGTCAAAGAGAATCAGACCCTTAACTAACGTGTTAATGCAATCTTCCGGGTTGGAAAATGCCAGAGATACGTGTCGCGGGTCCACTAAACCAACACTCACAGTTCCTTTCAACTTCAAGCGCTTGGCAAAGTGTTCTCTTATAACGGCAAGTATGGGCCTGCCATAAGAGAACTTTCCAATAAGTAAGGTTTCCCCTATCTTGTTCATCTGTTTCACCTCTGTATCCTCAAAGGTAATGCAGGCCTCCCCCTCATAGGATTCAACCATTTTATCCGGGATATTAAGCCCCGAGGCATGGCCCACATTACCACCTTGAGCTGGCAGACCCGTGGAAGCAAAGAGACTAGCAAAGGAAGGAAGCGTACCTGCGCTCACGGCCAATGCTGAGCTACCTACCTGAGCCGTATTATCCAAGCTTGGTGCCCCCATTGGGGCCGCATTATGCGCATGAAGCGTAGCAAGCCGTGCCCAGGCATTGGGCTCAGTAGGACCCGAGACATGCACACCTCCTGCGCTAGTGTCATGTCTCGGGTTGGGGGTGCTATTGGGGGTTGGCATTACATTTTGCTTGCTCCCGATAGCATCCCCATATGGGACATTCAAAGGCGTGGACACCAAAGTTTGCGTAGCTTTCAAACCATCCACACCCGCGTTGCCCCCAGAAAAACTAAGTACAGACAACGTGTCTCCAAATTGACCAAAGAAGAAAGGAGGATTACCCCCAACCCCCTGGCTATTAGTCATGTTGCCTGTATTTAGTTTGGACGTGTCCGAGAGCTGCCCCATCCCAACCACTCCGGCATTGCCCACAACCGAGGCCATGGACTTAGGGTGATTAGAAAATGCGGCTGTTCCCGAACTTGGCAAGAGTGGGCAGGAAACATAAGAGGGATTAGCTACAAAACCCTCAGCATTATGTTGCAAATCTTGCCCTCTAGGTGTGGGCATTGCACTCGAGTTAACATCTTCATGGGGCCTATGACCAGCATTGTCAAAAGTGACTAGCCGATTAGGATCGCCCCCATGAGCCCTATGACCAGCTTGCCCAGCCTGAGCTTGCCGATTAAGGTGAGAAAATGATGTCTCTTGTACACTTCCCACACTTAGATTAGAAACAAAAGAAAGAGGGGTAGAATCCTTACCCAAAGACTCGGAATGCACAATCGTGCTATGAACCATAGTAGGTGCGAGATTGCACCTGTGCCTAGTAACCCCTTTGGTAGACAAAAGTGGCGTATGATCTAATGTTGGCATACTATCAACATTAGCAACCAACCCCACATTGTCATCTATCACAAATGGGCAACTCCATCCAAATATCAAGCAAAGATTATGAGCTAAGCACTTAGGGTTGGGCAAACTCACATGAGCGCCCACCGAGGCATTATATGTTGCGGGAATATGGCCAAAACCATTCCCTCCAACCTGAGTGTTAATGCCCTCCATATGTGTCAAAGGCCGAGATGCACATTGTTGCACCCCACCCGAAGAAACCACGGCATGCCTTCCATCACCCTGCCCACCTTGAGCACAAGCCGAGACCTTGGCACCATCCATCCCACTCCTATGACCAGCCTCATCAATTTGAATAAGCCGATTGGAGGGGTGTTGTCTATGACCAGCTTGCTCCAACTGAGCTTGCCGATTAGACACCATGGATGATGCATGCCCAGTCCCGGTTTTTCCAGTTAAAACAAGAGGAGATGAGAGCTTACCTGAAGTGTGTTGCTGCTTAGACACCACCCCATATGGCTCAACCCGAGCCTTTGATCGCTTCTTCCGAACCACAGCAGCCCTTCTACCGGCAGTATATGCATTCCCAAGGTGGGCAGTGGCCATGGGACCACCAAGCTCCATGGACTTGGCTGCCAATAGGCCACCATGCTGCTTCCCATCCTCGATTTCATCCTTCTTCTCCCACGCAACATGAAGCCTTTTCCGTTTAGCCTTGGACTTCTTGAAACGGTTGACCTTGGCCTGAGGCCGAAGCTGAAAACCACCAAGCTTAGTCCGACTTTCCTCCTCCTCCATGGCTGCAACCAAAACTGCCAAGAGATCCTCGGGCTTGGAGTGGTTTTTTGCATCCACCAAAGAAACACCCAAGGCCTCAAGGCAACGTTGAGCTGCAAGTCGACTAAAACCATCTCCAGGCCTGGAATCCACCACCGAGACAGCGGCCATCGACCTAGCAACCATCTTCTCCGTTCGTCCGGCGATTGGCGAAGCTACGGCCATAGCGCAAGAGGAGAACTCACG